GTTCGAGTCACATTACATTATCCACTCTGTTTTTTTTTTTTTTCATTTTTCCAATCGAGGAACAACAATAAAAAATTTGTTTATGAGATTGTTTCTCAGTCATTTTGTTAAAAATTACAAAAAAACAGTTTATTATCGTTATACAAATAAAAAAACACTTTTTTTTTTGTTGTACTGCGCTAGACAAAGATTTTATTTCTTATTTAGTTTTTTTTTGTCTAAGACATTTAGATATCTGTATATATATTTTTAAATCTAATATAAGTTTTCCTGAATTTGAAACCAGTTGTCAGGTCAACGTTTATCGGTTCAATTATTATTAATTACAATAAACCTGAAATCAAATATTAATTATTATTTTTGGTTCAGCAGGAAAAGAGATCCTTTTAATACGCTACTAAACTGCGAAATTTTGGTCGAATTTTCATTCGATTCTACTCGCAAATTGTCAGCTATGTTTCCTCTATCAGAGATTGACAGTGAAAGGATTATTTCACTCTTACTTTCTTTTTTTTTTTGTTTATTTATATTTTTAACAACGTATTTTTCTGTGAGGTATACAAAAGGTTCAGTAAGTTCAAACAGTTTTAGCATTCTAAAAGTAGAGCATTATTTTTTGATATTGTTTACTGTTTATACTATGGTGCTTTTTTGTTGCCAAAAATCAATTAACTATTGATCTTCTTTCTGCTTTTTTTTTCTTTATTTTTATTCAGTTCCTATGATAAAAGTCTAATTTATAGCTAAAAGCTATTGGAACTTATACAGATTGAACTGTTAAAGAAAAAAATCAGTTAAAATTGAAAAGGAAGCTATGTTACTGCGTTTTACAGCCTGTATAAATCGAAAAGAATTTTTTTTTATGTTAATAATTGATGAGGTTTAATAGGAAAAAAACAGTACATTTTTCAATTTTATCATAAGCAAATAAGCAACTGATATTTTCCACGTTATTGTTTTAGTAAAAAGAGCAAAACAAGAACTTTTTTGAATTTTTTCTTCAGTTATTGGATATATTGGAACAGGTCATCATTGTTGGTTTCGAGATGGCTAAAGTATCGTTGTCAATGCTGTTGTTAGCTGCCGTTATGGCAGTGACCGAAGTATTTGGTTGTGCCACTACTGCTCAAGTTGTTAGTATGTGATTTCAAATTTTATTTTAATCATATTCAAATATTGTAAAGAGGTTTTTTGTAGACCATTTATAAGTTTTGATACAGAAAAATAAGAGAAAAGTTACTAAAATAGACCAAAAAAAAAGTTAAAAATGCCAATCCGTCTTGAAACAAAAAAAAAAAA